AGTAGTAGTAGTAAGTAAGTAAGTAGTAGTAGTAGTAGTAGTAGTACGGTAGGAGGAGTAGTAGTAGTAGTTACGTTACGTTACGTTACGTTACTTACGTTACTTACTTACTACTACTACTCTCTCTCTCTCTCTCTCTCTCTCTCTCTCTCTCTCTCTCTCTCTCTCTCTCTCTCTCTCTCTCTCTCTCTCAATGTCTTACAACAATAACCCACCAAGACAGAACAGTTATATATGTTCACCAGCAAAACTAATCAGCACACATCAGATCTGCATGCAACTTGAATGTTGTGAGCGGAAAAATGGATAGAGAAACCAGGACAGCACCATGACACCATGGCTGAGACATGTTAGTTAAGTGCATTGGATCACTCAATAAGAATGGTGTGTTTATTCCGGCTCATCACTACTTGAAGCATAATCAAAACCAGCTTGGTCATGCCTCTGCCTAGCCAAGCACCTTAGCGTAGCAGAAGACATTTTGTAAACCAACAATTAATCTCTTCTTCTTTCACTGGAACGCAAAATCTAGAAACCTGTATCTCAAACAACCAAAGAAAAAATTCAATGCAAAATGTAAGGTTTACACCCAATCCTTACAATCTCATTTCTTCAAGAACCTAAGAAGAAATTTTGTTGAAAAGGGAAAGAAGAGAGAGATAGTTGGATTGCGGGTTTGAAGCTAAAGGAGGACAAAGGAAAGGAAAAAACCAAATCCCATTATTTACTATGATGGAGAAACAAGATGCAGTGCAATTAAATTTTTAATATGCTCATAAATTCAAGTCAAACTTAATCTGGGGAATTCAGATAGGAAAAAAGTTTATATAAGGTTGAGGCCCAAAACAATCAAATTTAAGGCTCACCTCAAATTGATTGCCTCAACCTTGAGATGTACAGGCGTGAAAAAAAAAAAAAAACCTATTTCAAGTCTGGGAAATAGTGCATGTTCTAATGAATTATCGGGGCCCTCAATTTTTCAATATTTTCAAGTTTTTATAGATCTACTTGGTCAAAACTATTTTTGAAGCATTAAATTTTATAATTAGAGACAAAAATAAATTTCAGGCGACCACGAAGATTTTTTCTACAGAAAAATCATCTTTCGACAATATTTACAGGCATGCCTTACTTTGATTGTTTAGAGCCTCAACCTTATAGAAACCACACCCTTTAGATATTAGGATTTTATTTGGGATCTACATTAATATTGTTTTGGGTAATCAAAAAGGTCTTAAGGTATTTTAAGATAAAAAAATATTTCATTTCACAAAATATCATGATATTGATCAAATAACCAAAAAAATGAAAACTAGCCCAAAAGGATTGTAAAGTCACAACTATCCACAATTAATACGAAGTGAATGAACAAACTAGGTTCTCTCATCCACCTATGAATGCACTTGACTGGTAAACATGAAAGCTTTACTCCATAAGAATGTTATCTATGTGAATGAGGTTCTGTACAGAGAAGAGCTAATGATCATTTCCATTATGTAACCAGGGAGATAGTAGATGAAAGTGAAGCCAAAAAAAGAAAGAAGAGAGTAAAGGCAGTAAAGTGGTTCCCAGGTATAAGTGGCAAAACATTGTCTGCTCAAGAAACTGCAATATTATTCAACAGGAGAAGAAAAAGTACGAAGAGAACAGAACATGTTCGAATATAATGTACTTACATCACAGGGAGACCAGTGCAGCTTGATGGAAGCAAAATTTTCAACAAGCTAGGAATTCCTTCAGTAGGTATGCAACCTGTAATTCATGGAACACAAAAATAATAACGGAACCAAACAATCAATCTACCTTTAGAGATTGTTTATAATTGCAAGATATCAAATTCAGAAAATATATGAAAAAATTTGCAATAGATGCAGTAGCTGACCAATTTGAGTTGCAGCTCCAAGGTATAATGGCTGAGGCCTTTTTTCTGAAGAAACTGTGACATTTCGAAAAATTTCTTCTTTGTCAAGACCATAAAGGTCCCTCACCTTCAAAAGGAAAACAAATTTTAGAAAATTTCGAGCAGACACCTTCAGATATTCTAGTTCAATCTTCCAAGTTTAATTTTATAAAATTTCCAGAAGATATTTTAGGGAAATTATATACATTGTTAAAATGCCATTTTCAAGAGTATCCAGAGTCTTCATCAGTCATTCTACAAACCCTAGGGCATCTGCAAGAAAAGGTAAACCCTATATTTTCAAATTAAGCAATAAATAGTCATGATGATCAAATTGCCAATTAGCCCAAGTTCGCATTCCTCAATTTGTGAGTGCATCATAACAGTTTATCTCCAAATTTGAGATTCACCATAGGACAGGTCTATGGAAAAGTTTCTAATGATCCATTTGCTAAAATTCAGTAGGAATATGGTGAGATGTTGACCTTCTCAACGTTCAAATTTAACATTTTAAAAATAAACACATATTCATGCATAAGCTCATGCATAAGTGCAAACAAAGACAAAAAGAAAGTTAAAAAAGCCCACCTAACAGCCTCAAATTGTGGAAGCCAAAGACATTGAAAGAATAACAAACATACAAAGTTAACATCCTCCAGATACATCCATACTTGAATTGGGTTATAAGAGACATACTTCTATGAACACATGGCATCAATTATCCATGTTCCCTCTAGAGGCAATCTCTGCAAAACTTAGAAACACAGTCTCAAGAAGATAAATCTACAACACAAGGTTCAGGAGATCAGTGCAAACTGTTCAGAGTCTCCTCACAACCCTTCCCAAAGGGATGAATTTGTAGATGGTAGTTTCTTCAATAACAATTATTAGTATTCCAACATCAAAACTTAACAAGCCAGTAGGGCAGCACAGAAAGCAACCTTAGAAGAACAAAAGGGACTGCTACCAGACACATACCTTGCACAAAAGTCCATCAGCAGGACTGCCATCGAACCACTCAAAGTTCTTGTCAGTACACTCCCCCCATAGCAAACCACCTTCACCAAATTCTCCCCAACGATGTGTCCCTATTTAGAGTGAAGCATACAAAAAGTATATCAAGCAGCTGAAAGATGTGAATCAGGACAATAACAAAAATATAATCTACAAATTACAAAAAATTCATTTCAACCAGATTCTCAAGCTTGACAACAAGAGAAACAAGAATAAACACAAGCTTACATGAACAATATGAACAAGTCAACAAGCTGCCATAATCATTTATGGAAAGAAGTCCATAAGAACAAATATCAAACAGACTACTGCAATCCAGATCGAGATGGCAAGTAGTCAACCAAATAACTTCTAGTAGGAGTTATCTCAATAGATGCTCAACCTTGACAGGACATACAATAAACATAAAAGGTAAACTTCCATAGATATTGCTGGTGAACATCCACGAATAATTTATCCTCAAAGATCCCCTCCAATGCTATGTCGAAAGGGGCGAACAATGTCATTGCTTCAATCACAACTCAGCCTTCAACAGTTGCAACAGCAACCTGCTAGACTCATGAGGCAACTCCAAGGAAACAGTATAAACAACAATGAGATTTAGACACATCCTTTCACCTCCCACCAACAATATAATCATGTTACTTCTTCTTGACATGGGATACGATTCATGACAGGGGAACCTCCACTGAATGGACGCAAACCACCAAGTATATCCTGAAGAACTCCCTCCTTGCATTTGACTCCTTTTATACTACATGAATGGTTTCCCTTACAATTATTTAATTATTGAGCACCATATAACCCAATCTCTCTTAGAATTGCATGCTACATATTGGGAGAACTTTTGTTAGATGGAAGAATAATAAGAGCCGAGTCCCTTCTATCATCTTCACAGCTGACCAATCACCATATCTCACCCAAAACATCTTCTCCCCCCCTACCCCTTCCATATTTGGCATTATATTTAACCTCCTAGGTACAACACTTCATAATCTAAGGAACCAAAACAATATCCAATAACAAACAAGATAGTCTCCATTGAATGGAACAGTTTTTTCAATTTCACGGACATCACAATAAAAGGAAGTTGAAGAAAAAGAAATCATAACTTTCATAATTGTCATTTGCTGCCATGGAACCACAGCTGGAGCTGCGGCTGATTCAATAACTTAAAAACAAAAGGCATTTAGCATTCAGGATTGGGCTTGGATTTGATTGGTTAAGGTGTTGATGATTGCAATCACTTGTCCCAAATTCAAATCCTACAGTGCACTACCCAAAGGAAAAACACAAGATTAGAGCAATCTATCAAAACTAATAACCATATCATTACATAATTGCCAGTTTTTGCTCCTTATGTACATATTTTTTTCACAAGTAAATAAATAAATGCAAGCCTGATATGAAAAAATGGGCAGAAGATTCCTCAATCAGAGGACTGAGGCAACAGAGATTTTTTCTCATGAAACATACAGGTATTGATAAACCATCACAAATTAAATGGTGAAACCAAAAGGCATGCTCCACCCATAATGCTCAAGATGCCGTTTCTTGATCAAACCTGTACAATTATGCCGTAATGATATATGCAGAAACAAATGGTGGTGGGGACGGGTACGGAGCTTTGTGACTATAGCCTCTTCAGTTAGCCCATCTTCTATGGAATATGTTTTCAGAGTCTCAATAACTGATATCAAGCAATAACCTTTTGCTGAATGTGATACACCTGCCAAAACGAAATCACAAATGAGATATAGAAACAGATAACAACTGTTAATCACTAACCCGATGCCCTTGCAAAACAACTTGGATAGAAATTGCATATACCAAATCCATTAACCTATAATGAACTGAATTAGGACATTGAGAATCTGGAGTTCCCTGAGGACAAAAGGACTGTACAAAGCATAGAGAAATTTCTGAGTCTGCAAGCACCTATACAAAATGCCCACAAAAACATGCATGGGCATATGCCAACACATACAGAGGTGCCAATGTGGAGACAAAAAAAATGTTTATAGCATCTTTCATATGCCAAAAACAACATATTATAGAGTTAGAACGAATCAACAATTTGTATTGTATCCTGTATACTCCAAATATAATATTTCTATTCACCAGATTATTATTAATTTTACAATCAACAAGATGGTATAACTATGCACCACATAGGTTGTATTAAATAACATCTTGCATCCTTTAATGCTAGTGCACATATAACAACACCTATAAAGAAATATGTTTAACTATATTTTTGTTGCTACTAGGTGTGAAGAGGAAATGAAATATGCAATTAGTTTGCTTTCATGCTTTGAAAGGCATATAATTTTACTTACAACAACATAATGAGTAACAGGATCAACTACTAAGTAGAATGCAGGGAGTATAGTATCCTGAAATCAACCAAGTCATTGAGTTATACCAACTACAGGCACTGGCTCAGGAAAATCAACTTCAAGGTCGGCTCCTGCAAGTCCATATACATAGGGGCTTCCAGGATGTGCATGCCTGGAGGGGTAAGAAAAAAAGATGAGTTGATAAACAAACATCTAATAGTATGCCATTGTCCGCAACTGCTAATCAGGAAAAGCACAAAACTCTTTAGATTTTATAATAACACACTGCAGATGGAAGAATATACTAAGGGAAAATGACAAACAAGAATTTAGCAAAATGCAAAAAGATCACATCTATACCCCATGCAAGCACTTTAGGACATCATAAATTCATAATCTAGTATAACATATGGACCAAAAGTGCACCAAAATGGTAGAAGAACAACATTTTAATGTTCATTTGCTGTTTTTTGTGCCTGCGGAAGCAAAGCCACCATTTTACTAAAAATTAAACTGCATGGTATAAATAAAAATTCCATGGAAGTTTTAAGAAAATTGGCCAATGACATCGTAAAAGATTTTCGATTACCCTGATATGAAGCGACCTTTTCGCGATCGAGCTTGAGTTGGGCCCTGCACTTCCTCTACTATACACTGACAAAAGCAATGGAAAAATGCACTGATGTCAAGCATATTTCAGATCAACACATGGCTCAAAATCAAAGAAAGAAAGCATATAAATGGAATAATTCTCAAGTCAACATTTCTCAAAAAAAAAAAATAGAATAATTCTCAAAATCCACCTGAATCAAGCATTAGAAAATTAATGCAATAGAACCCCATGTTTATCAAACAAATCATGACCATTGAAAGGAAGACAATAACAGCAACTCAGATAAGGGGATCCAGGACAAACCCCAAGACAAAACAACTTACTAATAATAGAAAGGAAACAGCAGTTTGACCTGACTCCTAGGATTATAATCTATCTAAGCTTCAGTTCAATAATAGTGAGCAGCATCCAAAACAAATTACGGCGGCGCAAAGTTGGAATCAAACACCAAGCTCATGAAACAGCGCCAGAGCCTTGCATGCACAGCATCCTCATCATACCCAAATATTTGAACAAAAGTATTCCACATAACAAAAAAGAATCATATACCAAGTCACAGCTCACACTACGGCCTTTACACATGCGGACAAAGAATAGGAACAACCTTTTACTTGATCATATGCCATTACCATCATACCAAGCCCACCCCTTCAACCGCCTTGAACAAAGAAAAAGAATAGGCCAAGATTTCATCCTCATCCCCAAACATAGACATAAAATTATTGAATAAAATCACAATAAACTTATCAATCAATAATCATTTCCATGCATGGACAAGCCAGAAAAGGGACTATTTTGCATAAGGAAAAATCCAAATTCATTTGATCAGTGATCCCCTTCATTATTATCACTGATTTATAATTAGTATATTAATTATGCCCATCATGTGAACCTCCTGACCAATAGTCCATTTAAAATAACGCCCAGGCAGAGACATTGTATGGTACAACGCAAACAGCTTGCATTTAAGGTCTTCATGAAATAGGATGATTACATCCAATAAACACTGAGGTGGTTGAGAAATTTAAACTCACAACAGAATATCCACTTCGAGTCAAGTCATCCAAAGTTTGCCGCAAGTTCTGCAAAATTCAATAAATAAGTAAACTTAAAAATCAGCATCCCTAGAAAGGAGGAAAGTAACATAGAGGAATGGACCAAAACTACTGGTTATCAAAACCCGAAAAATATCTAGTCAGATGGACGAAAAAATAAATTTTAGATTTTAGATATGGAAAACTAAAGTAATCCAATGGATTATCTAAAACCCTAGCCCATATGGATCCTCACCTTCCAATGAAATGACACTAAGTTCTGGCGAGAGAGCAGGATGTACGAGTATAGGACAGTGCTGACCCATCATCCATCATTGCATTGGACCATGGAGCGGCATAATCCCATGGATTGTAGTATACTTTCTCATTAGATACAATGAAGATCGAGCACAGGAAAAAGCAAAGGACCAGAGAGAACAAAGACGCTCTTTCAGTTAATACTAAATAATTATTCAATATAGATGCTGTACAAAGCACCCTGTATACAGATGACCTAAACTCCTTTTGCGACCTTTATTTTCATTTCACTAAAATACAGTGAACTTTTCTTTCTAAAAAGTTTATTTAAAAGAAACTCGCTGCACTCTTTCACATGGACAATCAAACAGAGGATAAGAACCAAACATATGCCTTTTTTCATAATAAACAAATCAATTTCAACCACTAAGATCATACAGATGATGAAATTCAGTAATCAACAACAGAAAATATATCCCTCACAACCACATTGGAGCATTAGTTGCACGCATTGTTCTTTTTTCATTTGGGAAATTTGGAAGTCTGACCAAGGAAACCAATTACACCCTAATAAGCATTAAGGCCACATTTGGATACCGTAGTAGTCATATCAAACAATTAACTCCGCCACAGCTTGTTTCAAGCCATCAAACAGGTCCTAACCCAGATAAGGGAGGAGGGTTGTGTTAGGTAGCGCAGCCAGCTTAAAACTTTGCCACATCTTTTCATGAATCCCGAATCTATCAAATTGTGGAACATAATCCGTGCAGCCGACCCTAAATACTTGGGATAAGGCTCGGATGATGATGAAGATGATGAGAGGTCATATCAAAGAAATAACTCCACATGCCTTTGTGGGCAATCTAGAAGACTGTATTCTTAAATGGCCAAGAATCGTATCAAAGAAGTACACTTCGGGAATGGAAGAAGAACACTTTTTTCTGATAATCTTACGAGAGTTTCAGCAACAATTTGCGAACAAGCAGGGCTACTAAAAAGGACAATGCCCCCCCCCCCCCTACAGGCCGTAGGCGGCAGGATTAATAGTGGCAGACAAATCAGGGATGCTTAAATGATTGAAAAAAAGGAAAAACAGCAGTATTGCTAAAAAATGTGCAACCAAATGGATCATTGCCAATTCGAGTAAATATATGCAAAGGTTATATTTCATAGAAATCAACAAAAGCATACATGTGATATTTTGAACTTTGTATAAATTCCAGCTAAGAGAGAAGGTTTGAAATTTTCCAGAATCTTGACCTCGCCGGTTGCCATGAGAATAGTGGTGAAATTGAATAGTGGTGACCTTATAATTGTGGCAATTGGTTAGGATGACCATACAAAGTTACAATTGTGGCAATTATACGGGATATAATTGCTAGGATGACCTTAATGAAATGGAGAAGGTTTCAACAGAGCCCACCCTTCACATGAATATGAATGACGAATTGATGGTAAGCATCAAGGACCTTTTACAAGCACGACTAACTGGTCTTGGTTGATATTATCTATACTTAGACAAATGACACCATACCATGATGTTTACTCTTTAAGTTTTAAATATTTTAATAACATATTAATTTTCCTGAAACGATGTTTATACTCTTCGACAAGTTGAGGAAAACAATAGCCCCAAACGTTTTCTATTTGAGCATCAAGGACCTTTTACAAGCACGACTAACTGGTCTTGGTTGATATTATTTATACTTAGACAAATGACACCATAGTATGATGCTTACTCTTTAAGTTTTAAATCTTTTAATAACATAATAATTTTCCTGAAACGATGTTTATACTCTTCAACAAGTTGAGGAAAATAATAGCCCCAAAAGTTTTCTATTTGAGCAATATGCAGCAATACCTAAGTGAACCAGAAACAGCATACAAGCAATACCATGACAGGACAACCAGCTCTTGGGACAGTGTCTGATCTCAAACCACTCATAGGGTTCAACCCAGCATGTTCAACAAGGATGCATGCATCAAAGCCAACAGCTTCATAAAATTCTCCAACCTGGAAAAGATGAAATAGGTTATAGTCACATAGGAAATTCAGATATTAAACATAAATCAAATAAATACTCAGAAAAAGACAGGAAAAAAGTAGGAGCAACAAGAAAAGACAAACAGATTAAGGCTGGAATTTTCATAGTCATTTGTAGGTACATAAATTTGCTTACACTTAGAAAAAAAAAAAAAAGAGAACAAAAAACTGAAAGTTTTGACTGCTAATATTTATATGGTTAAACAAAGGGTATATTACATTTCATGAAAATTATGCGATTCTGACCTTAGCAAAAGGAAATTAATTTTATTTTTAGCAGAGGCCAACACCTAAAATGTGTGGCGTGGACCGAGGATGTAATGTTACAGAACAGAGGTATGCGAGTATCAATAAAAATAGCATGACCACACCATGACAAGCTGAGCGAAATTGCACAATTGAAAACAGAAATCCATGTAAACCAACGAATGCCTCAGGCGCAGAGTTCAAAGAAAAACAGACCAAGTATCCTAACACATTGACATGTATACCTGCCAGAGATCAGAAAGGAAATGCATGCATGACTTGCACACACCTATTGGATATAAGGTGTACTGATTATTCATAAACGAGAAAAAAAAAATAGGAAAGGAAAATGGAGAAGGAAACAGAAGGCATTCATAGTATCTTAGAATTTGAAGAAAATAAGGGGTCACAAGTAACTACAAATTACAAAAAACACCGTTGGTAAAACTAATGTTAAAAATACCGTTGGTAAAATTAATGTTAAGGACAAAACTTAGAATACATGCCCATAAGCACAAAGAGGGAACAAGAAACCACATGGTCTCTTGCTGACACAGGTGACTAAGTAACAAGCCTATCAAAGACAGGTCTACCATATAGAATAAACCAATGTTATCTTTACAATAAGAATGTCATCAAGTACAAGGAAACTCACTAGCCACTTGATCCCTCCAATAGAAACTCCTGCATTAGTTGGTAGTGCTTACTTTTACATAAAGTTGTACTGCCCCACTTTTATACACAACATAGGTAGCCCCTAATTAAGGCAAAGAGAAGCAAATTATCATCATGGAAATATTGTTTCCAATGTCAAAGCACAACTATCTTTGTTCAGAGAACATTTCCCTCAGCACAATGACTAAGGGACAAATCATGTTGTGAACCACAGTTTCATAGTGTACAATTGTATGTCATAGGGTCATTGGAAGTTAAAATCTGAGTACTTATACTAAATCGCAAATACCCAAGAGTGCACTTGGGAAATTTAAAGGCAACAAGAAGGTGTAGCAGCCAATGTGTAGCAGCCAATGGATCATTGAAAAGACACTAAAATAGGTCATTAAAGATATATGGGGACAGGTTCCTTAAGTTGGATACTATTAAACTTGTGGGAAAATCTTTAATTAACCATAGGCATTTCTGGGAATCCAAAAGTTCGGTTTAACTTTTTCAAAAACTAATTTCAAGAGGGTGAATATTTTAGGAGATACAACACAAGATATTGAAGGTACCACAAAGTCAGAAGGAATTTCCAAGAGACTACAAGTTCATGGTACCTTGTCAAGTACGTGTTTAGCATAATAGATAGAAGAACTGTTGAGATTGCAGCATGTGTAATTTTTCCTAGACCACTCTTCAATGTGTAATTTTTAGAGACCACTTTTTAATGGTAATTTTTGAAGCTTAAGCATGGATCAATTTAAAAAAGACTCAAAAGGTAAGTAGGGACTGAGGCCCAATTCTCTCCAGGTATTATTAATGAAAGGGCACATGGGCACATAATGTTGATTGGTGCAGGTGGTAATGATTGCAACACATTTTCCCAAGTTCAATACTGGACAACTCAAAAAGGAAAGGTATATAGGCATATTTCTGTAGTGGAGGGTGCCAGACATGGCCATCTAGGCACCCTGTGAAGTCTATTGGTAGATAAAAAAGGCTATGTGATGTGCATGTGCTCATAGACCATATGCACGGAAGTTTGTATGCGAAGTGATCTGGGATGATCTTTGGTGAAAGTCTTCATCAACAACTCATGGCATGGGAGAAGTTACCGTAGTGTGCAGAAGAGCTCTCACCTCTTAGAGCCCTCAAGAAACAACTTAGATGGATCATTAACAGTCTACAAAACCCACACAACAAACACAACAAGAAAATACATGTGATAGACCCTCTTCCTGCATAACTTGGTTTAGAGTTAAAAGACTGAGAGAGAAGCATATTCAAGAAGCTTCTAGGTCCAGACACCCCAAGTCAATTACCAAATCTAAGAGGAAAGAAAGATTTTGGAAGGCTGGGGTGTGCCACCTCACCCCCTTCCTTGACGTAAGGGAAGGCTTAGTGAAGCCTAAGTGGAGCCCAAATCAAGGGGTGCTATTCCGAGCATAAATACCATGATGTTGAAGCCAATGTTTAAAAACCAGACAGGTCTCCAACTCAATCACCTGGAAAAGGAACTTTCGAGTCGGAACGCCCAATTTAGGGTGCGCCAACTCAAATTTGTGTGGAAAAGAAATGACAAATTTTTAAATATAGGTTTGTAAAATAAATGCAATCCTATAGTAAGTAAAAAAACAAAAATTCCAACTTTAGTGATCCTATCAGAGAGAAGGCTCTAGTAGAACTTCAATCCAATTCTGGAGCTATTTCTACTTAAAGTGTAACAAAATGTATCCTAAAATTTTTGGGTAAACTTTTAGCATTCCTCCAATTCTGGCTCAATTTAGCAGAATCATTTTTACTTGTCCAATTTTGGTCAAATATCCTAAAGATTTTTAGAAAAATTTAGAGAGTTTTCATCAAGATTTGCTAGAGCCATAATCAAAGCAGAGATATAAAAGGCACATGCTAACGTGGAAACAAGCCAGTCACTCAATTAATCAGAGTAACAAACCAGTTCATGATAAGCCAATTATAAAACGTAAAAGGAAAGAAAAATATTACCTACCAATCTCTTGTACGACCGATCCTCCTCTACCTCCAAAGAAAGGCTTAGGTTTTTGGAAGCAGCTCTAGCTCCATGGATTCAAGGATTTCCCCCAATTGATTACAGTTTCCTAGGATTTCTAAAACATCTCTGAGTGCAAAGCCAGAGCACCTCACAGAACATCACCCGTGACCAGATCCTAGAAATCACACCAAATCTCCACGGATTGCAGCGTTTCTTCCCAAACAAAGCCTTGCATGTTTCTTTGGTTTCAAAAGAAGCTCTTGTCACCAAATTGGTGGTCCGTCGAAGTGATTGCCTGAAACTAACCCCTAGAAGCTAGGCAATCCATGGAATCTAGAGTTTCTATAGTTAGAAGCTTTTGAGGAGAAGAGGCGCCATGAATTTTAGGTTTTATGATGAATAAAAGCTTCTTAGAACCTTCATCAAAAAATAAAAGCTTCTTAGAAGACGAAAAAGGCTAGACAATCATGGTAGCTTGAGTCAATGAAACTCCCCCCCACTTTGCGCTTATCTCATTCCAAATATTATTCTTCTCAGTCATTTCTTTCTACAAAACCCAAGATCTTGCCTCCTCCCGCAGACCACTCATACACAATAAAGCTTGGGCCATCTAAACACCTCCAAAGATCCTTGCCTTCACCTGGCTAGTGTCTCTAGTCAAAACTTAACTTTATACCAACTCATGAGGAGAGGTTACAACCTTGCAAATATATGCTAAATTGCTAACTATGGGAAGAACAAGAAGACAACCACTCCCATCTGTTTCTCTATTGCAAATTTGCTTCTGAAGTCTAGACCAAACATATCAAAGACTTTAATTGGCAATGGGTCACACTGGGATCCCTTGAACATCTTTCCTCTCCTACCTCCTTCCCCCCACGAAAAAAAAAAAAAAAAAAAAAAAAGAAAAAGAAAAGAAAGAAAGAAAGAAGAGGGAAACATCAGCAGCCTATTTTTTGAATAGCCAACACCTTGGCTACTCTTTGGTCTATATGGGGGAAGCAAAATTCTTGCATCTTTTGAGAAGTCAAGAGACCACAAGAGCAAGTGCAGAAAGAGCCAAAGGTCTCATGATTTTCTAGGCAAATAACTACAAACACCTCAAGAGCTTCTCCAAAACAGATTTCCGACCAAATTGGCAGGACATCCTTCAATACAATCCAAACAAAGTGTCATGGTCCAAAGCATGCCCAACCCCATCCATATTAGGTTTAGAGATTCCAATTGAGCTGCAGAAATCGCTCTCCTAGAGTTCATCAAAGGTTCAAAACCAATTGAGTAAACCAACTGCTCGTTGAGGGATTCCGATATGTTATCTAGTGAGCTTTTGGCATGTCACGCCGGCCTTGGCGATAAACCAACAATATATTTTATCACATTACTTTTCTACGCAAGCCACTTTGAATCAACTTCCGTCACATCTGGTGGGAAGCAGACTCGATAGCTAATCTCACACACATCTCGGTACAGCCATAGTTTCTTGTGGAATCCTCAGTAGTGATTTTTTGGATTAGTGTCCCAGCTAGTGGGATGCCCTTCTACTTGATCTCACATATTTTTTGTTTTTACAGTTCTTCGCCTCCTCTTTTTTTTTTGCTTTATATTTCTCCTCCGCTCTCTAACTGTACGTATTCTTCTTTCCACGTCGTCACTCTACCTCTGTTATCTCTCTTGGCCACTAAATTTCTTTGTTCTCTACTCCCTACCACATCTTCCCCATCTTCGATCTTTCATCTTTCTCTCGACATCTTCTCTCCACTCTCCTTCCCCCCCATATCTCCACCTTTCTCTAACACTTCTCTCTCTCAACTCTAATTTGATGCAGGAAAATAGAGCAAAAGGCAAAAAAAAACATTTCAAGAAACTATCAAAACAGTCCAGATTTGAGTGGACCTAGACAAGGCATGATGCTACTGTTCACACCCTATTTTTACTATTTACACCCCAAAAGTGTTAGAAACCCTAGCAGCCCAAGCCTTTTCATTACCTCATAACAAAAAAGACCAAACTACCCCCAATTAATTTAAAACATTGTAAAATACCCCATAGGACCTTTCACTCAAATTAAAACATAAAAGGTCACAAAACTGCCCCTAACTTTAATTAAAACACTGAAAAATCACTAAGAAACTCTAAAAACAACAACAAACTAAAAATAAACTCCTTCAAAAAGTTGGCCTTCCCCTCCTAGATTTCCTTGCGACTTTGGGATGTGGATCATCATAAAGGAGGTCGTCAAAGGAATTGATTGGGCCAAAGGCCATGAGAACTGTCTTGACTAATCGAAGGACTGTCTGATGCATCATTCTCCCATGGTTGGCAAGAACTCGACCTCAAGTTCGGATTGCTACTATGGGTTCGTGGTACTCAAAAAGATCAACAACACTGAACACATAAGATGTCTCAATCTTAGCCAGTAGGTCGATCTTATAAGCATTACTTCACATCTTCTTCAGCACCCGAAACGGCCTGATCTTCTTATTATTGAGCTTGTTGTAAATGCCTATAGCATGCCTATCTTTGCATAGATAAACTATCATCAAGTCTCCCACATTAACGAAGCTTGAAATCAAGGCAAGTTGTGTTACTGCAACCCCCATAGACATTGTATCAATCATGTATTAGGCCCATTGGGAACTGCCATGCTTGTAGTACATATGCACAAAGATATGGGTTTCAGTGAGGGTTCTCTGCCAGTACGATATTTAGGGTTGCCATTATTTAATGGGAGCTTAAAACATAATCACTGCAATAGCCTGGTGGGGAAGATCATAGACAAAATTGGGACTTGGCAAGCCCTTTCCCTTTCTTATGCAAGCCGTTTACAGCTATTAAAATTAGTTCTCAGCTCCTCATTTTCTGGATTCATTATTTTATTCTACTCAAGCATATATGCAATGTAGTTGAGACGTTACACCGTAGCTTTTTATAGGCTGGCTCAGTTGGGAAGAAAGGATTTCACTTGGTGAAATGGAAAAATGTCTGTATTACTACTGAAGAGGGGCGACTTGGAATTTGTGATATATCAGAATTCAATATTGCAGGCATGATGAAATTAGCTTGAAGAGTTGTTGCCAACCCTTCTTCCCTACAATCGCGTTTTTTCAAGCACAAATAGTTTAAAGACTCATCCATTTGGGTGACCAGGAGGAGGAATTATTCTTATGCTTGGAAGGGCGTCCAATTGGGTTGTCCTATCTCGATATAATGTCGAATGGATCATTGGAGATGGTCGTATAGTGGATTTTTTGACAAACCCGTGGCTATCCGAAACTCTATCTAGGATTCTTATGGAGATGATATTCACAAGCATTTGGGTACTCTTGCCAAGTCAAAGGTTGAGGATTATTTGTAGGGTTCTCCTCAGGTATGGAGCCTCCGTACTCCTACATCTGGTCCTCTCATCCAAGTTTGGAGAGAGATTGCGAGTTTCACTATTCCTCTACGCCCCCAAAATGATTTCTTGGTCTAGATCCACTAAGCCAGTGGTCTATTCTCAGCCAAGAATGCATGGAATCATATTCGGGGAAGGGCACTTCACAGCCAGTTTTCAGGACTATATGGGCTTTGCACTGTCATCCCAAAGCGAAATGGTTTTCTTGATTGGCTCTCCATCAGCGTCTCTCCACCTCCTCTTTATTACAACTGCGAGGACTGACTACGGCACAAGTATGCCCTTTTTGCTGCTCTAATGATGATAATATTGACACGTATTATTTCAACGTAATTTCTCACAGGGTGTTTGAAGATCCCATGCATGGAGGTGTGGCAAAAGATTTTATGTCTTAGATCACTACATTGCATCTATATTACGGACTTGGATTTCCTACAAGTTTAAATCAGTTGGCCTTCTTAATGGAGGACATTCCCTTTTCTTCACCACTATTTGAATGCTTTGGGAGGAGTGCAATCACCAGGTCTTTCAAGGGAAGACCTCCAAGAGGGAACAACTGGTCAGGAAGATTACGTTCCATGTTATCGAGATGGCAGAAGCAAAGGCTTGGACTTTCCACATATTCGAAAAGGCCATAGCAAACAATCTTCACATCACATGGTAGCAAGAGAAGACGAAGTCCTCTATTCCGACTGCATAGTGCTTACTTGACCAGGCCATTTCAAACTCAATATTGATGGAGCTTGTTTACGGAACCTAGGATGATCAAATGCAGGCGGAGTTATTAATGGTGAAGACGGATATTTTATTGTTGCATTTGCACAGCCCCTTGGAGTTGCATCAAATAATTATGCGGAGTTTTGTGCTTTGCAAGCCGGCGAGGACCTTGCCATCGAGTTAGATTGCTTTCCTTTACAAAATTAAAAATGACTCATCTCTAATTGTCAATGTCATTCACGATAAATGCACAGCCCCATGGTATGCTCACATTGTTGCTGCCAACTGCAGACAAAGACTGATTGGACGTGTGTGGTATATCTCACATGTCTATCATGAAGTCAATATGGTAGTTGACACACTCGTTAAAAAGCCTCAGCCTTTTTTGATGCCACCATTTGGCACACTAGACCGCCTGATTGTATTTCACTTCCTTTACTCCATGATGTTGTGCAACTGCCCTATTTTAGGGTTGTAAATCTATGAATTGTACTTCTTTTATTCTTATTTAATGAAAAACGGGTAGGGGCCTTTCTCCCCCATTGATTTACCCTAAAAAATGGCTGAAGTTGAACCCTAACATCAGGAATCACATAATCAACCATTTGATGACCACCTTCTATATTGAACTCACTACCAAAAACCTCATAGGAAAATATCAGCGAACCCTTAGGCCATACCTCACATGTACCCCACACTCGGGTAAGGCATCAAAAGAAACAACATCCTTACTACCACTGTCATCTCCTTGATCTTCCTTACCTTCACTTTGTTATTCCCCATAGATAATATCACCCACCAAATCATCATCAAAGATAAGACCCTCATTAAAGATGGGATTACTATCAAAAAGACAGGATGACCATCTCCATCAAAAGATCTCTTGTCAAGGATTAGCTCATCCATAAAATCACACAAATCATCAAGGAATTAGGGAAAAAAGTCCCTTATCAATTCCTCATCTATTGCTCGAGGAGTAATCATGCTGCACCAGATCACCAAAGCCTCCCCATGGTTACTAAATTTCACTTCAAGGTCCTCTTCGTCAACCAGCTCATCATAGTTGGGATCACCTTCAAAAGAGTGTTTGGTATCCTCATCATAAAACTCCTCAAAAAGATTAACGAACTTGCGATAGGCACTTGGATGAGACACGCCTGATGCCCGAACACTTGTAGCACTTGATGTTGCAAGCAGCACTCCTTTCGCCCCACCTGACTCCTTAAAAAACCCCTTTTTGGCCCAGAGCACCTTACTTGGTCGTTGCAACAGTGCGAGATGTAAAACCAGTAGCTGTCACGCTGCCTTTTCTTCCAAAATAACCACCAAGGCTGCTGCCCATTTCCCCTATTACTCGTACCTGCACCCTACTTGTTAATGGTCATTTCGGCTGAGTTTCAACCCTCTTCACAAAGTTGTAGACCTCATGAAGGGTCTAATACTGCTACATGCAGTCAAAAGGTGAAACTCAATTGTGTATTCATCCACTGACCCATCTCCTTGGTGCAACACATGCGTACTTCCATATAAAGACTGTATTTTCAAGTAAATATTAGTCCTTACTCTTTTTCCTCATCTTCTCCCACAATACAATTTTAGGTTCCCTCTCTTTCTTGCCTTGCTCTCAATTGTTCCCACCATACCGAAGCACGTTTTTCAAATTAATGGCAATAAATTTAACTTTTTTATTATGTGGCATATCCTTGTAAT